GGTGATGATACAGAAATGGCTGTGTTTTGGTTATTGCTGGCTTTTAAAATATTCTTTAATTTTTTAAAAAATCATTCAAATACAGCAAATATCACTCGGCTCAAACCCACTGTTTTTTCATTCTTCATTTAAATGTCAATTTCTCAGTGAGAACTTCTCTGATGGCCCTGCTTAAAACTGTAATCATCACTACAAGCATTTTCTTTCTCATTTTCCCCTGTTTTACTTTTTTGCCAGAGCACTTATCCTTATGAATGTCCCGTGTTACTTTACTAACTCTGTTCTGTCTGTGTCCACCTACACTACCTCCATCCATAATGCAAGCTTCATGAGAGCAGGAAATTTGTCTGTACTGTTCATAGCAGTAATCCAAATAGCTAGAAGAAACCCTCACACATGATAGACACTCAATAAGTATTTCTGAATAAATACACAAATGTTCATTCTTTAACATTTCTTAAAATCACCAATAAATTATATCAGGCAATTAAATATATATACAGCCATTAAATCTTGACTAGAATATGAATGAATCAATTAAACTCATTAAAATATACAGAATCACTTTCCATATTTAAAACTTTAATTATTGCCCTTATACAAATCCTGATATATTTGTATATGTCAATAAAGAATAAAATCATAGCTCTCTCTTCTCACCAGAAAACTTTTTCAAATGTTTGTCTGTTTAAATGAGTGTTTCTCAAATTTGTGTGTGTGTGTGTATATACATATATATATATATATTTGTTAAAATGCAGTTTATAATCTATAAGTCTGGGGTGGAGCCTGAATTATAATAAAAATGGTATTTGTCTGTGGACCAAAATTTGAGTAACTGAGTTTAGGGAAGTTTTCAGCAGTGTTAAATTGCACATAAATGTAACATTAAAAAATGATATTTTTAAAAACATTGCATCCAATAAGAAAAAATGTGTTTAAAAATATTGGTAATGAATTTAGTAAGGCTACTATTAAGTAACTGAGTATAAGAGTTTGATTTACTGTTTATCTCCAAGTGTCTAACACTTGGTCTTCTTTCACCAAGAGGGAACCCTAATGTAAACTATGGACTGTGGTGATAATGACAACTCCAGTGTAACAAATCAACCCTCTGGTAGGCAACATGTTAGTCAAAGGGAGGCTGTGCATGTATGGGAGTTAGTTTTGCTGTGAACACACAAGTTCTTTAAAAAATAAATTCTATTGAAAATTTAAAAAGACAGCCTACGGAATGAGAAAAAAATATTTGAAAATCATATATTCAATAATAGCTTAATATCCATATAGATAACTCCTACAACTCAACAATGAAAAAGTACACAATCCTATAAAGAAAAGCACAAAGGACTTCAATACACATTTATCCAAAGAAGACATGCAAAAAGCCATTAAATACAAGTAAAGATGATTAAGACTGTTAGTAATTAGGGAAGGACAAATCAAAACCACAATAAGAGTCTGCTTCATACACATTAGGATGACGATAACTTTTAAAAAGGTGGGGAAGGGGAATAAGTGTCAGTTAAGTCCCAGATCACCCTCAGGCTGTAAGATAAACACTAGGGCTTAACACACAACATGATGACTACAGCTAGCACTGTTGTATGGTATATTTGAAATAAAGAGATTAGATCCTAAGAGTTCTCATTACAAGGAAACAACGTTTTTTTCCTTTTTATTTTTTTGTACCTATCCTAAGCTCCCTAATATTGCAATTTGCTCTCCGTTTTTTATCTCCTTTAATTTACTCTATAGTTTCTCATACAAAATATATCATTTCCCACCTCTGCCACCCTCTGTGATATACACACACACAGACAACACACATTCTGTGTGACTTCTGTCTTCTCTACCTCTCTTGCTCATTCTTGATGGAGTCTGGAAAATGTTATCAGTCTTTCCAGTTTCTCTCTATCTGACATTTGTGGTCTATTCCATTAATTTGCATTGCAAGCTAATTAATTTCTAATGTAAGAATTTAAGTACATAAAATTTTCACTAAGCACTTTCTTATTTAAATACCATAGGTTTTTTATTGCATTATTGCTATTATTTATTTAACATATTCTAACTTTAACTGTAATTTTTTGGGGGGGAGCCATGGGTTATTAAACATGTCTTCTAAGTAACAGGGATTTTTCTAGCTTTTGCCATAGAACTGATTTCCAGACTAATTTAAAGGGTTAATCCATGTCACTTTAATCCACTTAAAATTACTGACATTTATTTAGTGTTTAATAATTTTGTATGTACTTGAAATAGATGTCTGCAGTTAGAAATACACGTTATTAATACAAGTGCCCATTAAGTTTAGATTATTAAATAATTATGCTGGTCAAATATCCTGTATCTTTGCTAATCACAGTTCAGAATTAAATTATTTTGAGTTTCCCTGAGATACTCTTAGTTGCATACCGACAATAAATATGCTAATTGGAATATATAGGGAAAGGAGCCTCTATATCAATGGGAAAAAAAAAATGTTTAAGATTTCAGATTTCTCAGATACACAAATCATTTTCTTTTGGACTATGTCCTGTATTTTATATCATAAAATAAAAAGTAATATTTCAATTTTCAGCCAAATTTTGCTTTCTGAGCCTATATTGCTCTACAGAAAATCCTTTGTTTTATAAAGGATTATTTTATTTTCCTCTGTCAGAAATAGTCTACATCTTTAAAAAATAGCTCAGTTGTTTTCTTTTTTTTTTCTATTCTTAAGTGGTACATTTATACCAAATGATATTTTAGAAGTTTTATCAGAGTTGTTATATTTGTTCAGCCTTTACTTAGCATCTGAAAAAGTAAATAAATAAAAGGAAAGAAACAAAAGAAGCACATACAAGTTCCAAAGATCATGAAACTTAAGGCTAAATTCCTGGTTGGTTGTCAGCCAAACTTCTGAAATCAGTTGCTATGGTGATTTTTTTAAAGCTTTTCTTCCTATTCTTCTGGGTCTAATTAAAGCATCAAAGTTTATAGTATATGGAGGAAAAATAACCACACTAATTATTCATACAGCAGGTTCTAGCCACTTGTAATGAAAACATTTAAAACCATTAATATAGGAATACAATTGAAGTTTTTAAATACATAATAAAATAAGCAGTGCCATATAAAAAGAAATCATGTTCATGTAATAAAATTCAATGTTGAAATGTGGATTTTTTGGTTGTTTTTTTTTTAAAGGTTTGCTATAAGTTGTTGGTTATTTTTTCCAAGGAGCTGAAAAAATATTCTTATGTAATATCGGGAACTAATTCACCTTTCTACTCCAGTATTACTAATATCATAGCCCATTCAAATCATAGAGAGACTGGGAAATTAGTTCACCAAAAAGCACCTTCTGATACAACTTTCCCTCCAAAGGCTTATAATGATTTTTGTCTTTAGTTTTCCATACAAAAGAGCTACCAAGACAACAAATTTCAGTGCATTCCTCTGACCCTCCCAGCATATCACTATCCCCTTCCAAACACAGATAGAAGATGCCTAGAAATATTCAAAACAGTATTATCTAAACACAAAGAGTAAAATTCAGCCAGAAATAAAATGATACTGTAAACACTAAAAAAATGCATTAAATCATACCTTGGGAAAGATATAAATTGGCAACATTGCAAATAAAATTCAAGAACATAATATCTGTTCTGTTTGACTGATAACCTAACAAATTTGTGAGATACTCATATGAAAATGACAATGAAGGAAATGGAAAAGCATTCAGAGCAGAAAATGACTAAAATGCAGCAAAAAATATTCATAAGATACAGATAAATATTAATTAAGAATATAAGATTAACCAAACAGTTTTGCTTGGTTTCTATAATAGTAACAATGGATATTATAAAACATAATCCACAACTGAGGAAGAAGTTATTAGATAGAAACAAGATTTCTACATCTATAAGATCTTTGGTTTTCCTAAGATTCAGCTGTACATAGAGGTGGTATGGTATTATAGCTTTGGCAAAGCAGTGAATCATAAACCAAAGTACTCGGAAACTTGGTTCAACTCTGACAGTGCCAATTTTATGAAATTTGACCTAATCTTAGCCATTCTTGTCAGCAGCTTTATCCATGGAAATCACTAATAATTAATACCTTTCTCCCTTACCCCTTGGGTTTCTGTGATGATCAGTTAGAGATTCATAGATAAAAGGGCTTTAAAAGTTGAAAGTTCTATATAAACATGAGCTCTTATTATACTGAAGTTGTTCTTGTGATTCCAGATTTGGTTTCAAGAGGCAAAAGATAAAAAAGATCAAACTGTAACACACTAGCCCTGAAATTATTACTCGTAATAGTGGAATAATTTGTCAGCTTCATTTTGACAATTTGTACTCCCCTCATTTGCAATGAAATGAGGCAACAATGGACTCTGTTGCACCATTTCACGGACTTCCCTGGATGAGCACATATGGCCCATTTAGCTAAGCATGGTTTAATAGGTGCTGTTTATTACAAGTTGATCTCTTACAATATTACACAGGTGATATATATTTCCCTTAAGAGATAATTTTATACATTATCTGGATATTGTTGTTTTTTTTTTTAATCCACTTCTCCCAGATCATAATTGACTCAAGGGAAAGACAATTCCCAGAAATACATCAAAGCATCAAGACTCATCAACCCTGCATGAGTTGGCTTTGATGGATGTTTGGCTTGTGTTCTCCAAAATTTATTTCATGTAGAAAATACTTGTTTCAATTCAGTTTGTCTTTGAAGACATCTGTTTTCCAGTTAACCTCCAATTCTTCAGACACTAACACAAAGTCACTGACTAGTTTCAAATAACTTAAGTTTTTAAATGACTTAAGTAAATTAAGTATTGCATTCAGAATCATTAAAATGTATTTGAATGGTTAAACCACCTTACTTGCCTAGGCTTCTCCAATTACATACACACTGTATTTTTCATCAATGAACCCATCGCAGGGAGGGAGGCTGTAGAGATAAAGACGACAAGAAGGAAACAGAGCATGTGCACTCACCACAGATGAAAGGAGTCTCATCTGAATTATCAGCACAGTCATTCACAAAATCACATAGCTTGTCCTCGGCAATGCAGTGCTTGTTAGCGCACGTGAATTCTTGAGCAGTACACGTTCTGTCTGCGCTTAGAAGTGGGAAGCAATCTTGAAAGGAAATATCATCCACGGCTACATCTCCTATGTAACTGATACCACGTTTTGCCCTGAAGATAATCTTTAAAAGAAAAAAATAAAACAACAATTAAAAAAAAACAACACAGCATCAGTAGACTCATTCATCAAGAATTCAGAACTTGGGAGACTGGGATCAACGTGCACAGACTATCGAAGTCGTTTAGGTGCCAAGTCATGTTGACTCTTGCTACACCATGGGCTCTAGCCCTCCAGGCTTCTCTGTCCATGGGAGTTCTCAGGCAATACTGGAGTGGGTGGCCATTTCTTTCTCCAGGGGATCTTCCCAACCCAGGGGTCAAACCCATGTCTCCTGCAATGGCAGGCAGACTTTTTACCACTGAGCCACCTGGGCTTGGACACTTTTGATACCATGTATAAAGTAGGTAACTAATGCGAATCTGCCTTATAGCACAGGGAATTCTCTCAATGCTCTGTGATGACCTAAATAGGAAGAAAATCCAAAACTGAGGGACTATATATACAACACATAGAGTTGATTCACTTTGCTTTATGGTAGGAACTAACACAACGTTATAAAGCAATACACTCCAATAAAAGTTGTTTAAAAGTTTAAAAATAGAATTCATTTCAATGTATGACAAAAACCACTGCAACGATGCAAAGTAATTAGCCTCCAACTAATAAAAATAAATGGGAAAAAAAATAGAATTCAAAACCTGGGGCAAACAGTAAACACAGTACAGAACACAAGGCTTGAATCTGATAAAGATAATCCTGCAATCCGTATGATGAAACTGACCCAGGAAGTTGGAGGGATACTGAAGATCTGTACCATACTCAGCACATAAGAACATGTGAGTAGCAACACTATTGCCTCTTGTCTAGATTTTTGACCATGGGGCCTAAGAAACTGGCAGGAGTCACCTATCTCTGCTGCCTCTGTAAATCTCAGGGCCAAAACAAGACCTAGGCACTTGAGAGCCTCAACGAACCTAGAAGGAGGAGGCCAGCCAGGTGACAGGATGTACCTAGAGACAGAAGATACAAGCATACTTTTCTTTTTTATTTTATCCACTTCTTACCATTTTTCTGATCCATTCAACTCAACTAGTGTTTATCAAAAACATACCAAATCTCAAAACGATGAATTTTTTAAAAACTGGCCATCTCTTTGGACTTGAAATAATTGTGATTTGCCTTTAATTAATTCTCAAAATTCTCAAGTGTGTCACTGTTGGTCAGTGAGATATCACTTCTATAGATTTTGATGGAAATGATGGAAAATAGAAGTAACAGTACTCACTAAAGTTTTCTAAGTGAAACTAATTCAGACAGTCTCTATTAAATTTGTCTGCAAGCTAAATATGCATTTGTGTGTTAACAGGAAATAGTCATATATTTTAAAGCAAATTTAGGACAATTAGGGATGAGTTAATAAGAAATACCTATTTATTGTCATCAAACTCTCAAACATCTTTTTACCAAATCTAAACAACTATTTTTCTTGAAAGAAGTAATTAATTTTTCCTTAAGATATGATATACTTTTATACTATATGAAAAACCGAAGTGTTTTCCTTTTAAGATAATAACTTAAAATTCACATCTTTTACATGATAAAAATATACATTTTTATGTACAATAAATTCATGTATTAAAGTTACATAAAAGGAAAAAAGTATTTTTTTTCATAGTAGTTGTACTGGAAAAGAAAAATAAATTTTTAAGATATATTAAGAGCTTGGCTGTGATTAAGAAGAGGTGAAATTAGAATTATAAAGACAACTTTATTATAAGAAAAACTAAGCCGAAGACAAATGGATATACAAACTGAAACAGGTATTTAATTACTGGATGTATCTGACCTCTTAAACACATAATGCATTGCTTCTGATTAAGAAATTATATATTTCTAAGAGTATCTCAATATTCATATATTTGTCATCCTATAGATACAACGTTAGGTACTTTGCCATAATCCAATAGTCAAATTATCACTTACATGTCAACGCTCCATACAATGTTTGTTAAGATTCCATAGATTTTAATGCTGAATGTCACTAAACATTTTTAAAAGCACAAGTATATTTTTTCTAGTACAATAAAGTTGGGGCAATTATTTTATAAAACATAGGAAGCAACAAAGCATAGCATCTGTATTATGGACTTGTGCTTGACCTGCCTGTACTTAAAGCCTATTACTGCCATTGTGTAGTTATATAAAAAGGGCAAGTTACCCAACTTCTAAGTATTTCTGTATTCTAATCTATAAAATGGAGATAATAATAGTAAGTTCCTTATAACATTACAGGAATAAATTTTTTATTCATAGAAGAGTACTTAGCATTTAGTAAGTGTTATGCACATGATTAAATACAAAATTATTATAATTAAAGATTATGATTAAATTGTGGTTCTCAAATATAACTCTGAAAATGACCCAGTGCTGACTCAGTATATAATTTCTACAAATACTATATACTTCTACTCAAAGGTTAAAGACACTCATGTTTCTGATGCTAAAGAGAATGATACTATAAAAATGGAAGAAGAATGGACAATACATATGCTCCATCACTATTTCTAGTGCATAGTAATGTGCTTTCCTGCACATAGTAGGTTCTTAATATGCTTTTATTGAAGGAATGAGTGAATCACATTAAATATCAAATATTAAAAATATTAAAATTTAATATTTAAAATATTAAAATTTCATCTTAAGGTTCAAACAACATGAGGATATTCCTCTGCAAATTCCAATATATGAAAAATTAAATTTCAGAAAGACTAAATTAATAATTGATACCTCTGCTTAAATCCCTCTTAATGTTGTTTTGAACAAGATTTTACTATGCAAATATTCTACTTGCACAGAATAGTTAAGAATCCACTGCCTGAAGTGGAAGTTGATGCCTGGCAGCAGCTGAACCTTCTACATGTTCTTGCTGATGATCCTTCTTGCCTCTGTTAAAAGGTCTTGAAGGTTAAACAGGTAGGATCCTTCAATAATAAATTTCACACAGTGCAAGGCCACTATATTGCTGTCCAATCTTTCTTATTCTCAAGTTGAACTTATTTCTTGTCCATCTCCTAAATTATCTACAAATGATCCTTCAGAAAACTAGGTTCCAGCAAGACGGATTTATCATACCTAACATTCTAAGAAACTGGGGATAATGCTGAATCAATGCCTTTATTTATTTATTTTAAAATGTTACCTTTTTTTTAAGTCTTTATTGAATTTTTTTACAATACTGCTTCTGTTTTATGTTTGGCTTTCTGGCCAGGAGGCATGCGGGATCTTAGCTCCCCTACCAGGGACTGAAACCATACCACCTGCATTAGAAGGCTAAATCTTAACCACTGAACAGCCAGGGAAGTTACAAGCACCAGGGCCTTTAAAGAGCTATATCTAGCCTGTGCTTCCATCGGAGTTGAAATGGGCTGACCTATCAAATATGGCACATGACTGCTGATACAGTTACTGAATATTCACAGCTGATTTGACTACATTTGCTGTTATATAAAGGACTGGAAATGCAATCATTAGCAAAGATAGTATACCATCTATATACATGGTGCAAATTCAAGGAATTCAGACTTGTGCAGTTAAAACTAAGAAAAAATGACATAAATGGCTCTGGATTCTCACTTTCCCTTATCCAATCTAAATCTTAACAGTTAAGCATTATTTTCCAATAAATATCCCTTCATGTCAGACAAAACAAAACTCTAAAAGCAAAAAACACATCCTAGAAGCTCTTTTTGTTTGCCAGATAATCCATAAAATATAAAATTCACATTAAATATCTTGTCACATAATTACTTTCGGGTTAAATGTTTTAATCTAGGTATCATTAGTTCTTTTCCTTTACTTTCAGGTCTTACCCTAATATTATTGTATTTTACATGAAGACAAATACAGCATCACACAATTTTGTACTTCCCAAAATATTTTTCAGTCAAGTAAACCTGTTTTCTTTAATAAGGTTCAACAATGCACTGTACTTTCAAAGGTCTCTTTAATCAAGTTTGAAATAAATGAAGGAAATTACTCTACAGTCTCTGAGAATATATTTGCACAATAGAGAGTGGTGTGTGAGATTGTGAAGGCATGATAGTTGTCACTAAAATTAAATGTTCCTAGAAATATGGTTGTCTCATTGGGAACAAAATTAGGGCAGTCCAGAACTGTAAATTCCTTATGGAAAATGCTATATGGAGTGGTAAGCATTCATATAACATATCAGAATGGGAAGACAGGGGTAGAGGAAATAAAGAAAAAAAGCCAACAAAACAATCATCATCTTAATACTTGGATTACAAACCTGTATATGGGAATGAACACCTAAAAACAGCTCCACTTTTTTCCATTGTGCACCTTGCTGTCCACTTTGAGCCCACAATTTAGAAGTAACATTGTCTTTCTTGCTGAGTACCTGCAGAGACAAATCAAGTAAGAACTATTGAAACATTGTGCCTTGATAAATTTTAAACATGTAGAATTTCCCCAATATTTCTTTTCATTTTAATGTCAACATGAATCCCTGAGAGAAGAGCTCAGACATTTTTCATTAGATACCTTTGTTTTCTAGAACAGCACTGAGTCCCCCAGGGTACCTTACTAGCTCTGTGTAATAAAGTTGTGCATGAATATCTGTCAGTCAAGTCTGAAGGTATCTGGGCACCATTTAATTAAGAATTCTTAACTACCTTATCTTTTAAAATCTGACAGCAGGAACAACTGGAAGTCGCAATATTGAATAACATTCATGTAGTCACACGAAAAGCACAGGATTATTTACTGAAACATAGTTTTGAGAATGACCTTGTGTTCAGTGGGGATGGTGAAATTACAATGGAAGCCAATTCAACTCCAACAGCACATGTGGGTGATACAAGCAGGCATCCTCTTATCTAAGCCAGTAAGAGTTCCCCACCCAGTAAACTCTCACCAGTACTACTGGGGGCTTCCCAAGTGCCACTAGTGGTAAAGAACCCACCTGCCAGTGCAAGAAACTTAAGGATGCGGGTTCGATTCCTGGGTCAGGAAGATCCCCTGGAGGAAGGCATGGCAAGCCACTCCAGTATTCTTGCCTGGAGAATTCCATGGACAGAGGAGCCTGGCAGGCTATGGTCCATAGTGTTGTAAAGAGTTAGACACAACTGAAGCGACTTAGAATGCTCACACGAGTACTACTGGGCCCTCGTTCTAAAGGCAAATTGAGACTCAGCAGATGAATAATCACGGCTCTTCATTTAGATGACACAAAAAAGAACCATCAAGGGAGGAACTGAGAAGAATAGTTTCACATTTTAAAGTAACTGAATGAGATGATGTGTTTAATTAATGTCACAACATTACTTTTTAACAATACAAATATGTACAATGGAATTATTATTCACATAAAGGGTGTGGGAAGGTTTTGGTTTTTGAGAGTGAAGGTAATTTTGAATGCTTTCATCATTGGTTTTTAAAGATGTTAAATAGAAATGATTATTTTTACAAAGTTAGAGTTTTCAGAGTCATACAAAAATTAGTATGCAGCTAGCAAAAATACCACTAAATTCTTGGTCCATAAAATTCAAGTTGAATTTTAAATATATTAAAGTCAAGAAAACAGAATTTCTAAAAAATATTAAAAAAACATTTTTGAAGGATACTAAAATGAGTGTATAGGAAATAGGTCTTCTTTGTATGAATACTGCTCTATATACAAATCACTAAAGAAAAATGTGTTCATATAACATAGTACCAACATTTAATGTCCTTTTATTTAGCCATGCACAAAAATATGGATCATATGTATTACCACTGTAATTATTTGATAATTAATTGCCTATAAAATAAGGCTGTTTTATAATTTTTCATCTACTCATGTAAAATCATATTTTGAAAAAAATGAAAGCCTATTTCAGGCAATTTATCTCAACCACAAAATACACCTGGTAAATAATTCTCATTTTTCTGATGGAAATCCTGTAGTCAGTTGTATTGATTGTTTTCTCTAAAGCAATTTTTAAAGAATCAGTGTAGCACAAAGGTAAATTATAACTTCAATCCACAAGCCTACCTGGATGTTTTCAGGTTATTATATGCACACATACAAACACACAAACAGGTTTACTCTTTGTTTTTGGTGAGAAGTCTCATCTATAATAAATAAAATATTCTTCCAAAATTGATTTATAAATTTAACATATTTCCAATTAAAAAAGTAACAGCATTTTAAAAATAAGATATGTTTATCTAATTTGGGGGGATATAATACTTAATATAGCCAGAAAAATCCCAGAATACTACTAAAATTACATCAAGCTACCTGAAAAGAAATGGATAAGCAGGTGATCTGCAGTGTATTTCTCTCTACTTATTGTAGAAAAGAAAGCAGGTAACCCAAATGTCACCTCTTTGCAAATATACTAAATATAGGGCTTCCCTGGTGGCCCAGTGGTTGGGAATCCTCCTGCCAATACAGGGGACATGGGTTCAATCCCTGGTCCAGGAAGATCCCACATGTCATGGAGCAAGTAAGCCTGTGCAGCCCAACCACTCAGCTTGCACTCTAGAGCCCGCAAGCTACCACCACTGAGCCCACAGGCCAGAACCACTGAAGCCTGCGATTCCCAGGGCCCGTGCACCGCAGCAAGAGAAGCCGCCACAAGGAGAAGCTTGTGCACCGCAACTGGAGAAAAGCCAGCGCACCGCCCTGAACATTCAGCACAGCCCAAAAAACAATTAATTTTTTAAAAAGATACTAGGAAGAGATAACAATGGAATGTGAAAAGAATTCTATATTGAATTAAATTTTTCCTACAAAAGATCCTATTGGGATAGTGAACAAGAAAAAGAATCTCTGAGTGAAAGATACGTTAGCGTTGCCTGTGAGATTCTTGCAACCTTTTGTGAGTTTCAAGCAGTTTAATATATATATATGTGTGTATATATATATACATATATATATGTATTTTTTTAACCAAGAAACAATTTGAAAGAGACTATCGGAGAATGTAGCACCACTACATCAAAGACAACAAGAATGCACATCCAAATATCACCCAAGTGTTTATATTCATTTGTTGTGTTATTCACAGATATTGACTCTGAAACCTACATGACAAATTTCAAGGGTAAAACAGTATCACACAGAAGCTGTAGTCTCAGAATAAATTCTATAATCATATATAACATCATAAACTATACCTCAATAAATTAAAAAAAAGAGGTCAATTGGCCACTTGAGTTTTAAAATAAAATTTAAATTTTTATAAATGGTCTTGACACACTTTTGTATGTCAAATACATTTTAAAAAAAATAGAAGAGAAAATAAAATGACCTAAAAAAGACCACAATCATAAATAGGATAGTTAAAAAAATTCTATTAGACACTCAGGTCCAATTCTACTAAATTTTTTCAGTCATAATGCTTTGAAACCAGTTGATAATTGTTGGTAATTGTCCATATCTCATTTATTAGCAGACTACATATTTTAATAACACTAAATTGTATAGTATGAATTTTTATAGAACAAATTTGGAAAATGCCATTGCCTAATAGTACCTGGAGAGAACCAACGGTGGCACCATTCATATGAGTCCAGAACACCAGGGTACATTTTGGTCCTGTGCGTGAAATGATAGGAGTAAGGATATCAGCCATGTCACCAAATTTTCCATTGGAGCTATCAGCATACAGGTACCAGCCATCTGCGGTATTTCTGGGGAAAGAAGGATGTGTTTATCAGATAAAAACGAAGAAGAAACTCATAAATACAGTTTGTCATTGAGCATATATTACTGTTCTGTAATTTGTCCTAAGAATATAACATGCTGTTTAGCATAATGACGACTCATAACCTTCAGCATAGACATTCTTCTATTTTAATTCTGAATCTATGTAGTATTAGTACAATGTGCAAAATTTATGGTAAAGCCTGAAACTACCAAATCTAACATGTAATGACTTGATCTTTTGTTTACAACAATACTGCCAATACTCTGATCAGCTTTGTAGAGCTTATTTTTATGTGGGTAAAATGAGACTCTGAAACACTGAAAACATTTAGAAGAGGCATAAAAAATGTAACTATAAATATAAATAATTAAAGCATGAAAAAGAGAAATGAACTGTCCTGGGGTTCTATTAACTAGTCTAAAGTCTTTCAGGTTCAAATTTATTTTCTCTATTAATTTAGGTTAGTTTTACTTAAACATATTTTAATAAATTGGTAGATAATTTTTGTGTCTTTTCTCTCTGAGTTTCAAACCAGAAAGAGAAACTAATGATGGAAACAAATATCAGCATAATCTTGCATAGAGTTTATACCCCCATTTGAATTATCAATTCAAAAAAGAGATAAGACATGCTACTCAACACAGAGCTTTTTGAAATATTAAATAAGGAAGTGATTCCTCAAAATTTGGGCATTCTGGCATTCTTTCCCTTCTTTGATTAATTAGCTTTCACATCACTTTTTCACCACATGTGAGACTAGTACCATAGAGTTTAAACTTGCTACTTATTAAAACCATTTGGAAAGCCGTTAGTTATCACTTTTGGAGGAAAGACGTATGAAACATTAATAGAAAATAGATGGAGAGAAAGAGGCAAGTGTTCATTCAATCACCACATATTTACTGAGTCAGTCTTTCGAGCCCAGCAGTGGGAATGTGATTATGGACAAGAGACATGACGGGTTGAGCCCTGGCCGCAGCAGTTACTAGATGGCAATATTAGGCAAGTTATTTAACCTCTCTGAACCTACTGCTTTCTTCATTTATAAAATAGGATAGATCCATGTTATTAACAGGAGTTAGAAATAAGTGGAACCTCTAACACAGTACCTGGCCCATCTAATATATTTAATAAATTGGAGTTGTGATGTGTGATTAAGTTTATGTCACTAGTTGCTGCTAATGGAATAGAGTTTACTGTCCTATGAACTACACAGGGTATGAATTAAGATTATTTTTAAGAGGCAGGATTACTAAATTGTCAGAATTGTGTGTCAATGACTAAACAGTTCCAGCTTTGTTCCTTGTGTGTGCTTAATACCCCAGGATTCCACAGATGCTGAGAACAAAGATGAATACATGAATTATTCAGTGGCTCAGGATTCACTGCGATTCAGCACCATCTCAGTAGATCTTTTTCCCCCAAAATTGGCAAACTGATCCTAAGCTTAATATAGAATCCAAAGAACTAAGAATAGCCATTTTATCACAAAATAGAACAAAGTTGAAGAATTTACTTGATCAGATATCAAGATTCATTATAAAGGTAGAATAATCAAGATAGAGTTGTATTGCAGTAAAGACAGAAAAATGGACAGGAGAAATGGATAAAAAATGTCTTAAAATTCTATACATATTTGTACATCTGATTTATGAAAAGCTTAGTTCTAACAGAGCAGTGAAGGAAAGGACAATCTTTTCAATATGGATTGAATAAATTAGGTAGTCCTATGGGGAAAAAAGAAACCTTGACCCCTATTTCACAGCATTCAAAAATAATGAATTACAGGTAGAATATACCTGAAATGTGAAAAGTAAAACAATAAAGCTTGTCTAAGATATGTAATAATATTTTCATGATATGGGACTGAGAAAAAATTTTAAATAATATATAAAGGTTAATAGCTATAAGAAGAAATACTAAAAAGTCAGACTGTATTAAAAAGCAGAGATGTTACTTTGCCAACAAAGGTCTGTCTAGTCAAAGCTATGGTTTTTCCAGTGGCCATGTATGGATGTGAGAGTTGGACCATAAAGAAAGCTGAGCACCAAAGAATTGATGCTTTTGAACTGCAGTGTTGGAGAAGACTCTTGAGAATCCCTTGGAGAGCAAGGAGATCCAACCAGTCCATCCTAAAGGAAATCAGTCCTGAATATTCATTGGAAGGACTGATGCTGAAGCTGAAACTCCAATACTTTGGCCACCTGATGTGAAGAACTGATTCATTGGAAAAGACCCTGATGCTGGGAAAGATGGAGGGAGGGAGGAGAAGGGGATGACAGAGGACAAGACGGTTGGATGGCATCACCGACTCAATAGACATGAGTTTGAGTAAACTCCAGGTGTTGATGATGGACAGGGAGACCTGGCATGCTGTGGTCCATGGGGTTGCAAAGAGTCAGACATGACTGAGTGACTGAACTGAACTGATTATATAACTACATATTCATATAAGGAAGACAGGATGAAATATCGCCAAATGGTAATGTTTATATTTTTGGGGCCATGACTATTGCATCTCTTACACAGTGTCTGGTTCACTCTCAACAATACTTGATACTCTCAAAAATACTTGATACTCTTAAAAATACTTGATAAACAAAAATTACTTTAAAATCAGTACAGCACATGTGGAAACAAAAACACCAAGGGAATACTAGAGCTCTAGATCAGATGATATTATGCAAGAAAAGTTTATAATAATATGTTCCAGGCTAGGGGAAAAAAAAATACAAAAAGACAGAATAATATGAATAGACTTGGAGACCATGGAAGTATTTGGTGACTAAAAGTCATAATTCTAGTAAAGATAAAAGCATCTAATCAATGGTTCTTCAACTGGAGGTCCTGGTACTAATTTCATAGCAACTAGACAATGAAAAAATACAAATGCTTCATTTCCCCCAACAATACAATTTGAGAAAATTCAATCACAATAACAAAAGTAAATGAATTATTGGAACAATTCTAATTATATTCCCTTGAAATATCCCCTTACCTGCAAAGAAAAGAAAAAAGGGAGACATTTCAGGAGATGCATTTGAAAAGTGCAAACAATACACCTGCATTTTTGTTTTAACACTGCCCTATGAACACTAGGCTTTCGCAATGGATAAGCAGTAAAAGAATCTGCCTCGAAGGCAGGAGACATGGGTTCGATCCCTGGGTCAGGAAGATCCACTGGAGGAGGAAATGGCAACCCCAGTATTCTTGTGGAAAATCCCATGGACAGGGCAGTGTGGAGGGCCACAGTCCACAGGGTACAAACAGCTGGACACAGCTGAGCAACTGAACATGCAGAAGCACATCTACACAGTATCAATGTAAAAGTATATCATCTGGTTACTAGTTTTATATGCCTTAATTGAGGACATATGATGTATGTATGATGTCTAATGGAAAATGAAGAATGAGCCAAGCACGTGCCTGAGATGAAATTATTTGAGCACGTACCTGCAAAGGAAATCAACTCCTCTCCTGGAAAGGGTACAGCAGGAATGATCATACCTACCAGTGCTGTCACTCATAAAATACCAGCATCTCTCTCCCAGCCTTCAAACTGTCTTTTCTCATACAGGGCAGGGAGTATGATGTTTTATAGACATATACCTTTTCTAATAAAACATAGCATAAACCACAGTAGTAAAGGTTTAAAGAAAGCACAGCTTTATATCCAGGTGTCACAAAAGTAAAGATCCAGGCGATGATATAGAAGTCATTAAAAAGTCATTATAAAAAGAGATCTGATTTACAGTCATGCTATTTTTTAAAATGTTGCCTAAGCATCATAGGATAATCAGTTTCTAGAGCCTCAGTATTACACAGATTAAGTGATTTAAAAATCGACATTTGCCTCTTATGAGATTCTCCTGGGTATTCACCTTATTTAAATTAGTAAGGGAAAAAATACACCCTTCCATGGACAAATCAAAATATACAGGTACAGTATGAGGGACATATTCTTCAGGCTTATCCTCTATCTTGAGATATATCTTATAATACTGTAACTGTTGTAATGTACCTGATGGTATATGAGTAACTGAAAGTTGTCATGAACTTGATTAGCTTCATCAGTAGCAGAAAATACAAAGTGTTCAACAGTATAATTCTCCTGGGGATTTCCACAGTATCACCCTCATGTCTGCAATGAACCATCCTTGCCATGTGTAACTGCTCCCCACCCCTCCTACCAATACCACAGTCTGATCTACCACTGCTGGAGTAACCTTCTTAAATAAGACAGAACACTCAGAGGTCTCATGTGGGATTTTTAGAATATAAGGGAAAAGGAACATTCCTTCTTGAGTGTCAGGACATGACCCCACCCCCATCCCTGACCCCCACCCAGGTCTGAAACCAGATGTGTAGGATTCCAAAATTCTACATACGCCCTCTACATTCTGCTAGAACATTGCAAAAGACCAAAAAAAAAAAAAAAAAGGTTCTATTTGATCTTATTGGTCCTTTACAATATACATTTGATTTTGCCATCCGGCTTAGAAATCTTCAATATACCTTTACTTACTCAAAGTGAGATCCCTAAACTAAATTGTATGTTCCTGGATTGCAGGTACATAAGAAGCCTTGGTAAAATATACATCAATTCATTACATACACTGTCCTGATCTGCTGACACTGTTTTGCTTCATTTTTTTAATAGTTGGAATTTCTTGATAAAGGAAGCACTGAATTAATTTGCTTCTGGTGCGAGCTCCTTGATATCATCTTCTTGTAAAAAGTCCGTCCACAGAGCAGTCTTTTATAATGAGAAAATGAGAGTTAGTCGCTCAGTTGTGTCTGACTCTTTGTGACCCCGTGGACTGTAGCCCAGAAGGCTCCTCTCTCCATAGAATTCTCCAGGCAAGAATACTGAAGGGAGTAGCCATTCCCTTCTCCAGAAGATCTTCCCAACCACAAAGCCTAGGTTTCCTGCATTGCAGGTGGATTCTTTACCATTTGAGCCACCAGGGAAGCCTCTTTCAG